GGGGCCCTGGTGGAAACTAAGTTGGACATGAGCCAACAATATGCCCTCACTGCAAAGGAGGCCAATGGTATCCTGGACTGCATGAGGAGGAATATTGCCAGCAGGTTGGGGGAGGTGATTCTTCCCCTCTACTCAGCATTGGTGAGGCCCCACCTGGAGTACCTGTGGCCAGTTTTGGGCCCCCCAGTACAAGGGAAAGATGGAGCTACTGGAGAGAGTCTAGTGAAAGGCCACTAAAATGATGAAAGGTCTGGAATGTGAATGGTTAAGAGAGCTGGGACTGTTCAGCCTAGGGACAAAAAGGCTCAGATGGGATCTCATCAATGTGTACTAATATCTGTAAGGAGGGTACAAGGAAGATGAAGCCAGGTTCTTTTCAGTGGTGCCCAGTGACAGGACCAGAGGCAATGGGCACAAATGGAAACACAGGAGGGTCTACCTGAACTTAAGGAAGCACTTTTGACTGTGAGGGTGACTGAGCACTGGCACAGGTTGCCTAGACAGGCTGTGAAGTCTCCCTCCCTGAAAACATGGCCCTAGGCAGCCTGCTTCAGGTGGTCCTGCCTGAGCAGGAGTTGGACCAGATGACCTCCAGAGGTCCCTTCCAACCTCAACTATACTGTGATTCCATTATTTTGTGATATCCATCTTTCCCTGACCCCTTTGTCACATTAGCACAGAACAACCACTGTAGCCTGGTAAGGGAGCTATACAGAGACGTATCAGAGACTTTAGTCCTCCCAATTAATTGTTTCCCAAAGAAACTCACTAATCTGAAGTTACAGTTGGCAGAGATAGAACCAACTTTGGTATTGATAGATTTACATGAGGGGTGATCTATTCCATATGAAGATTTAGAGGGTAGAAGTGATGTCCTAAGCCTTTTTCCTCCAGTCAGCATACCCTCTATAATAACAACTAAGGCAGGTCATTCCCATAGTATCTTAAAACTACAAATCTTCCATAGTATTTTTGTTGAAGGAAATAACAGTTTCTCAACAGCTGAGTAATTAATGAAATGAAGGAAAAGATTCTGCTAAGTCGTTACATACATTCAGCTCTAGACTAAGATGAAGCATGAAAAAGAAATACTGAAAGTATTTTTTTTTCAGAATATATTAAACTTGTGAACTCTGGAAATTACTGATACAGCTATATCACTTGTACATGGCACAAACATTAAAGTGTTTATGTTCACTTTAATATGACAGCCAAGCCATCCATGGTAAAAACAAACCAGTGGTCCAAAATCATAACAAACCAATTACCAGCTCCACTGGATAATAACAACATGACAGTGCATTTAATAGGTATTCAGAAAAGCTATTTATGTATTATCATTTGCCAAAAGACTTGCTTCCAGCTTTTTTCACACAGCTTTTCCAAGAAAAGTAGGACCTCCAGCTAACTTTTCCCTGTCTGGTGAAAGACACAACAGAAGAAAAAAAACTCTTTTCATAGACATACATTTATTTTGACACCGACTCAACTCAAACAAAAACCTCATTGAGAGAAAAGAAAAGGTCAGCAGAAAAAAGTAAAACAGATCAAAATCTATCACCACATCTGTCAAACACAGGAAGGCAGAAAAATACAAGCCAACTAACTGTAATCCAAACTCTACCAGTGGCCAGGTCCAAATGTTTTGAAGGATGGTGTGAAAATCCCACACAAAACCTAAGCAAAGAACATTGATACCTCCAAAAATGGGAATAAGAAGTGGCAATCCACAGAAGTCCTGCTGCTGTGCTGTCTGCCTTATTTGAAATGTTCTAGGTTCAAACAGTTTGCCAAGAATTGAACTGACACCCACACAACTTCACTTAATTCTTCACAATCTAATTTTCTGTAACTAACTGGCTTTCGGCTTGGCTTGTGGCTGTATTTACTGCTTTATTCAGGAGAAGTAAAACAACCCATCACCTACTTGTGTCTTGGATCCCAACTCCCAAGTGTGTTCTAACACCGCCCCCCGCCACGCACTAGGTAACCATCTGCTGACATCATCAGTTGCCTCATTCTGTTTATCACCCCAAAAGATCCCCAACACCCTCTCACTGTGACGTCAAATACTACCAGAACACAGACCAAAGCATACTCACAGTGCACCGCACTGAACGAGAAGGTAGGCTTAGTTCATAGTTCTGCTCTGCACAGTTTCATACTTTTCTAACCTTTTCTTCTGCAGGCAGACATACAATAAAGCTTGGGATGAGAGGTACTACTCTCCAGATATTGTCTACTGTTTTGGAATAGTATCTCTTTGGAGTTAGATAAACAATATTTGAAAGGATGTTACACTTAGAAATTAAATTTTACTTAGGTGTCATTCCTCAGAATATTAATGTATTGTTTTTCTGTACCTTCCTGCCTTCCCCTACTGGAAGCTTTTCCTCATCAAAAGGTTCATAGTGAGATAATTCATTCTCTCAGCCATGGATTTCTGAAAGCTCTGGGCCTGAAAAGTGAACAATTGTGTTTTCTGCTTGGGAGACAAACCATCCTGGAAACTAGTGATTTCCTTTGTGGGTGGCTTCCCCTGGATCACTAAGGACTTGGGACTTTGGTCCTGCCAGCACCTGGCTCCACGTGATTTCATCATCTTTCTCCTACCATTACCCTCCCCTATCTATTGCCAGTCCTCTAGCCTGAGTAGCCTCACTGAGCTATAACTCCTGGGGCTTTTTTTGCCAAGAAATTGGGCCAGTTTGCTAGGGAACAGAACTGGACAGACACTGGGTGTCCTGCATGCATTGGACTGTGTCCAGAGAGTGCTGTTCACAGGGATGCCTTGACGCTTGGTCTGGATACTCCTGCTAAAGGTAGGTGTCAAGGGCTGGGAACTTGAGGTTCCCAAGACAGCCACCTGGAAATGCTGTGCAATGAACTATGTTTCTGGACCTGAAAGGAGGTTTTAGGATTTGCGTGGTGGCTTTGGACTAGTGCAGTTGCAGGGATGTATATGTTCAGAACCCTTTTGATGAGGGGGTATGGACTGCTACCTATCAGTGGGGCTGGTGTTGGTATGATGGATAAGACTGCAGATAGGTGTAAGTCTGTATGTACGTTGTGGATTTGGAGGTGAACGCAGTCAGATCATGATCTGGTGCTATGGACAATGGTTGAAATGCCAGGAAACCGATGAAGTAAAATTGGTGGTGTAGACCCCTGCCTCAATAGGCAGTTGTTGTTGTGGAGCTGCAAAGAGCAGCTGTGAACTGTGACACCTCCCCATATGTGCAACAGACAGGGGCAAAAAAAGCTACTAGTCATAAGCCACAGCTGTAATTCTGGCAGACAGAAATACATTTCTCAGAAAGGTTAATCAAGCTGGATAGAGAGGAAATTCTGCTAGGGTCTGAACAGTGTGGACTCAGAGCTGCATTACATTACAGAACCACAGCAGTCCTGCTGGAAGGGAAGTCTCGCTTCTGTTTCTTGCCCACTTGCAGATTGCAAATCAACAACTCTGAATATTTTTCTCTTTGCAAGACAATAGTACTTGAATCTCAGTCATCAGTGTAAGATTCCCATAGTGCTCATGTAGATACTACAGCAGACCACCCAACACTCTAGAAACTGCCAGCATGACAGAATTAATTTGCATTTTTTCACTTGAACATGCTACATTAGCTTCTTTTCTTACAATACATATGGCCCAAATCCCTAGACATCCTAGAAGAATAACATCTTTCAAATATTTTCAAATTACTTTCCCATCTTAATAAGGCAAAGCAAAATCTTTTGCATTTCACAGACATATGCCTGAGAAGAGGGCTTAATCAAAATACCCTTCTTGTCAAAGCTTTGCCAAAGTCAGGATAGCAAATATGTACCAGTAGATGAATGTATATTGCTCCTTCCTCCTTGAGACTCTCCTCGGACTCCTCTTGCCATTTTAAGATCCATATCCAAAAGCTCATAGACCATTAAGTGCAGAGCAATGCATAAGTGACTTAACGGTACAACTCAAAATGTAAGGAGGTAAAACAAAGGCCTCTCAGCCTTCCCCATGTGATGAGCCATTGGTTTTTAGTCAAAAGGAACCTTGTCACAGCTTGTGGAGAGCAGAGTGAATCCAGTGCTTCCCTTTGTACCTGTGAACTTCTACTAAACGTTATTACACACCACTACTGGGCTTATCATAGAGCAAACAGGTTCCTGAGGGCTTCCTCAGGAAAACTGAGGATTCTCCAAGAAGAAGCAGGGCAGAGATACAAGGGAATGCTGTGCTGGCTCTTGGTGGAGGGGGAGGAAGCAGTAGTGCTTCCTCATATACTTCATCTAAAAAGTTGCTGGTTTTTTGAAAGAAAAAGACTCAATGCTGTGAACCAGAGCTTCACTGCATAGAAAGTACGAGTCCTGGTGCTTTTCCCTTGCACAACAGAGCAGCTCAGAACAGAAGCAACTTGCCTGCATGGTATGCTAGAGAGCAGGGGGGTTTATACTGACCTAATATAGCACCTCTCCTCACAAAGAGCTAATCAACCAGTGTTGAAATACAACTTCACTCAAGTGAAAGGAGGACTAAAGCATTTCCTCTCGGAACAAGGGTAGAAAGACAAAACTCATGGCAACTAAGGAAAAAATTATTTTCTGTGAAAAGTATCATGGGTTTAATATCATCCTTTTCAGACTGGGACTGCAACTTTACAGTGAAACCAAATTCACCAAATGAGACTTTCACAAGTGAGACTTTCTGACTGCAAGTCCAAACTTTCATCTTCCATTACTTGAAAGTTTATTTCTAGCTTCTGTTCATCAGAAGTAATACAGTAATACAAAGCAACAGTATCACACATATTTAATCTGCCTCTTTTTATTGTTTTATTTTGTAACCTGGTACAAACAACCAGTAGCAGTAGTAACAGCAATCATTGTTTCCTGTTGACGCTTGCCAAAATTAGGCAGAACTCATCTATGTTTCCTCCTTACTAACAAAACCTTTGATATTTCGTATTTTATGCCTGTATCTTCCCCTAGAAACTCAAATACAAAACATGATGCTGCTGCATGACCTGCCCCACTACTATAGAGAAATTGAGGGAACTGAAATCCTATCAAGAACCTTTGAGTCCAATGAGGTACTAACTCCACTTCAAATTCCTTCCCGTCCAACTGTCTCACAAGACAGGTAAGAACAGAACACGTAAAGGTAAATGATTCCATTAAAAGTATTAGATATCTATTTGTTGTTACCAAAAGTAATTTCTAATGCTTATGTTTTTCTGGCAGGACACAATTTTTTTCTTTTTTTTTAATGAAACAAAACATTTTCTACTTTGTGCAATAGTCTGTCAGTTCCCTGGGAAATATGTTGATTACACCTGAAAAGAGGACTGCTAAAATACATTATACTGTGGCTTTACGGCTCAAAATCTCCAGAAATAACTTTCATAAAGAATAAAAATAATATGTATATTGTATTTCTAATTTGGAAAAAATGAGCATATTTCACAAACAATCACCAGCATTTATCATGTTATTCTTTGATTGACTCCTGTTTTGAACCTTTTTTTTCCTAGATTACAGGTTAACCTAAAATTGCTGAGATAAACTTTAAAATTAAAATATAAAATTACAGGAAGCCTGCATTTTGCTTTTGTAGTCATCAGTGTGTAATCAGGAATCTACTATCTTTACAGTCCCAACTGTTAGCTAGGGGACAGAACATGGCAGAATTCTGGCAGTTTTTAAAGCTTTGGAAAGCTGAACTTCCATGCTGCTCAGTACTCATGATATTTTTTTCTTAAATAAATTTCTATTTTTTACATGCATAACAGATTCCAGAGTTAGCTTCAAGTCCTCCAGTGTTCTTTCATGTGAGATTTTATCTCTTTTGTTAGCATAATCAATTCTTCGTTTCCATCTTACTGACAGCCTGGTTTCGTACTATTGTTAACTTCTTCCATTATTTGTAATGTCTCATATCCAACATCCAAATTCCAGTCAGAGGATTTTGATATTATTGGATTATCACAACTGTCAAACTGTGTCTTGATGACTCTCACTTACGTGTCTTCCCTGGGGCAAGTTTTTATTGTATTCCTTGCATTACAGGAATTTGGGTGAATTTCCATCATCTGAACTGTTTTAACTATTGACAGACTTGAAAGTTTACTCAATTATAGGCCCGATCCTTATTTTAGTGAATGTACTGGAAAGATTCATGTTGGCTACACAGGATACTCAGCAAAAGGAAAAATTAAGACCAGAATGGGGTGCGATGTCAGGATCTGAACACACCAGTAAAGCATCTTTCAGATGACAACTATGTTAGACCCAACTCTGAAACACAAACAAGAAATAAGCACGGCCAGGTCATAACATTTCTTTTCTCTGTGAACATGAAAATACGTATTGTAATACAAGCAGTAAGCTACATTTTCTGCTCATGTAAATACACACTCACATGAACTCACCAATTTATACCTTAAAAGAAGGTGGCTGCGTGTTTTACAATATCATACATGTATGATGTATTTGTGTACATGTATGCGTATTTGTATAATGCTAGGTTATATATATACACAAAGAAGGTACCCTAAGGTTTTTATCTTATGATCAGACAGTCAGATTCAGTGTTGATATACTAAGATGATGTATATAGTTAGTTATATGTTTATTGGGCAAGAGTTAATTAAAAAAAAGTTCAGTCATTCCCACCTCCCCAAAAATTCACTGAATTCGAAATCAGTAATGTTGCTCAGTGACTATGTCTACATTGGCAAGTATTGTGGACTACAGGAGAAGATGTGTAGAGTGAAACAGTTGGTGCTGAGGAGCTGAGGTCCAGAAAAAAAGTATTTCGGGTGCTCTTTACTTTGTATTACTTGTAGTGTGATTCCAGGGACTGATGGTCCATTTGTGGCTGCGGTGCCCTCCTGGTGCACTCCTTGGAGCACATCCTCCAGTTAATTTCATCCAGAAGTAACCCATGTACTCCAAGACCAAAGCACTGCAAAACAGAGATCATTGGGAGATTCATGTCAAAAGTGCCCTCCTGATCCAAACTAAAATGCCACAGTGAATGCACCCTATGTGAACTCACACAGAGGCAGGTTCTAATCCTATCCCGCTAAGAACTCTCTTTCCATAGACTTCCTGAAAGATGTTGGCATAACACCACCTCAGGTGTTAGCTTCATACATTGATCAAATCAGTTACTGGAGCCCTTCACAAGCTCGCAATCTAAGACACTGTATTCATACACTCTGGTTTGAGGTCCCCACAACAAAACAAATTTGAAGGGAAAAATGTAACTTTCTAAAAATAAAGGAGGCACTACCGAACTAATGTTCTGATTCCAGAATGTTAGCTTTTTTTCTTTTTGTCGGAACAAAAGAGCCAGAAAGCTGGAAGTTGTCTGTCAGAATCCAGAATAAATCTACGGTTGTGGAAGTTAGAAATGGTAGTAGTCTCTATTAAATCATTGACCATATTGCTGAGACTATTAAAGATTGTTAATGATACACTCTTTAAAACTTTGTTCACCCTACTCCTCATTTGATATTTTCTGGGTAGAGACATTTTTTTCTCTGTCCTTGAGATCTTCAATATCAGCTATAAATGTTTCTTTGTGAAATGGAGACTTGGAAACATTTTAAGCTTAACAAAGTCCTGTTTGGGCTGAATGGATGATCAGACCTTTTTGTGCAATGCTTCTCTTTTCTGTCTAAGATAAAGTGGTTGTTCTGCAACTTAGCAACTTATAGATAGCAGTCAACAGGAATGATTTATTAGTGTTTCCAGTGAGAGCTGGCTTAATGAATACAAACACCACAGCCTTGCAGGTAACTTGGCGTCTGCCTGCCTATTTTCAGAAAGAGGAAACAAGGCTTTAGAGAGAACTTAGGAAATGGATGCTTGAGTTCCTTCAGAAACTTAAAACCAGAAAAGCTTTCTGATCATCTACGACACATTAGATTCTTATTTTGGTTCATCATATAATACAAACATATTACCCTTTGCACCCTGGCAAAATGGATAAAGAAACAGCATCAGGTGGCAGCAGAGTGGTGCTGAACCACATGGAAGGAGCTACATGATAGGAGGCACTGTGCTGCCAAGAAACCAGAGAGAACAAAACACAACACAGCAGCACTGCCTGTGTCTTGTAGATCATGATGTCTCCCACAGATTTCCCTAAGATCTGTTTAGATAGAATTCTGCCACAGTCTGAGTCTAAATGTACTCTGAGAAGTTTTTTTCTTAAAAACATTTTCTTAGAAACATTTTCTTAAAAAAACCCCAACATTGTTTCTTAAAAGCCTATACTCATAACAAAGCTCAAAGATTGTAATGCTCATTGAAATGCTCATAGCCACATAGTAACAAGCCTATTTCCCCTCACATTTTAGGACATGTGGGCTCAGGGATGTTATTCTACCTTTGAATCAGTGTAAGATGAGGCCAGAACTAGGGGAACCTTACACCTGAAAAACACCATGAGCCTGAACCTAGCTAGTACCTGCAGAGTGGCACTTTTTCCCAGTTAGCTTAATAAAAACACCCTCTCCCTCCATCTCCAAAGTAATGATTAACACTAGCAAAAATTAATAACATCTCTGCTTAAAAAAAGGATTTCTTTAGCTGATACTCTTCACTCCATTAGGAATCAAACATCCAGAAACCTAGAGCAACACCATACTTTGGAGCACAGGGCAGAGAAATCCAAGGTAATTGGGAGCGAGTTGGAATATCTGCATGATTCACCATGGCCTGTGCTGTGATAGCAGCGCAGTGGCTACACTGCAGTCAACAAAGGCACGCCTACTGGTCTGCAGCCATGTCCAGCTGCTTCACTCATCAGTAAAGAAACACCCAATATCAGAAAAAGATGGTAGTACAGATGAGGTCTAGCTAAAGCAAGAATCCGGGCCACTCAGCGATGGAAGGGCTGACAACAAACACAGATGTGTCTTCTGTGAATAGGTTCCCAACCTATTCACCTAAACATCACTCTCTCTGGTTTCCTATGAATGAAGAAAGCACGCCAGTAAAACATCGTGAGGGTGACCAGCCCCATCATGTACCACAACAGTTCATTACTTCCTTGATAAGGTTTTCAGAAAATCCTGGACAACTAAGTCAAATTTAAATCGCTCAATTTGGCTCTTATAGAATCACAGAATCATAGAATATCTCAAGTCAGAAGGGACCCATAAGGATCATTGAGTCTAACTCCCTGCTCCTTATCTCCTTAATAAGAGGACGGTTGGCTGTGCATGTGTGCTCCTGACTGGAAAACTGCTGCAACCCAAAAAAAAAGGAAGCTTTAAATTTTCAGTGAGCTTGGTGTCCATCTTCACAACACTGTAAAACAAAACTATGTGAAATGAACATGCATCTAACCACATTGAACTGCTTGATTTGAGATGACACAGATGTATGAAAATATACTCAATATCCACAGCCACTAGCACATCCATGTGAAGTGCCTGACATAGCTTGCACCCAGTGTGAATTACAGCTACGAAACAGTAACATTTCTCACCTCTCTAGAGATGGAGAGGGGAGATTTTCAAAGACACAAATAACAAATCTGAAATCAGTGAGAATTAGATGCTAAAGCTTCCATCTGTGCCATTGCATATATTTGCTGTCTGTCCATATGCCACTTACGTAGTACTGAAGGGACAGTGCAGGTATCTACATCCTGGCAGCTGAGACTCGATTATGCTGTGAGATGTACATGCTACATGTATCTATCAGCTTCTTTCTTCCTCTCACTGATCAAAACATAATAGACTTGATTCAACCTTCATTGAACAATTGCCAACACCATTGTACTTACTTCTCTTAGTGCCAGTTCACCATAATAGCATTACCCAGAATAAGACTGAGTAACTCAGAGCCAAGTAAATAAAGCCAAGTTGTGATTGTTTAAAAGATTTCAAGTAACCGTCACTGTTGTGCTATTAATATACATTTTGGGGTTTTTTTCCCTTCAGATATAAAGAGTTCAGGGAATCCTTTCACTCCTGCAAGCTTCCCTGGAGAGCAGAAAGGGAGCATGGAAGAATTGCACTACCTGTATTGCCGGAAGACCACAAGGCAAAGGACAAGTCTCCATGCACATTTGTTAAAGGATATCAACATTATGGTAGTGGTGTAGACCCTTGGCCAAGGTAGGCTAGACAAATATTTCTCACAGTCAAAATGTTTAAGTGTTGCGTTTTTAACAAAAATAGCAAAAGACAGCTAACAGGCTGGAGAGCAATGTAGACTGAGGCATGCAAATATCTGCATTCCAGAAACGGGCAATTTAATCACAGAATCATTAAAATTGGAAAAGACCTTTAAGATCATCAAGTCCAACCATCAACCCAACACCACCATGCCCGCTAAACCATGTCCTGAAGTGCCACGTCCACACGTTTTTCTGAACACTTCCAGAGATGGTGACTCCACCACCTCCCTGGGCAGCCAGTTCCAATGCTTGACCACTCTCTCCGTAAAGAAATTTTTCCTAATCTAAACTTCCCCTGGTGCAACTTCAGGCCACTTCCTCTCGTCCTATCACTAGTTACTTGGGAGAAGAGACCAACACCTACCTTGCCACAACCCACTTTCAGGTAGTTGTAGAGAGCAATAAGGTCTCCCCTCAGCCTCCTCTTCTCCGGACTGAACAACCCCAGTTCCCTCAGCTGTTGCTCTCCAGACCCCGCATCAGCTTTGTTGCCCTTCTTTGGACATGCTCCAGCACCTCAATGTCCTCCTCATAGTGAGGGGCCCAAAAGAAACAGTATTTGATGTGCGGCCCCGCCAGTGCCGAGTACAGCGGCACAATCACTTCACTACTCCTGCTGGCTACACTATGTCTGATACAGGTCAGGATGCTGTTGGCCTTCTTGGCCACTCAGGGACACTGGCGGGGGCAGGCCACTCAGGCACACTGGCGGCTCATATTCAGCCGGCTGTCAACCAGCACTCCCAGGTCCTTTTGCGCTGGGCAGCTCTCCAGCCACTCCTCCCGAAGCCTGTAGCGTTGCTTCTGCCCTTTTCACATTGCCTTAAATAATAACGTGCGAATATATTGGTACCCACGAATCTCTGCACAGTGTTTCACCAAAACACTTAAAGTTCCAAATGATCAAAGTTATTTTTTGCCCATCATTTGATAATTATTTACTGTTGGCTGTTGTCCCAAACACCCTTACTGACCTTAAAAACATTACTTCTGGCCTAACCACACTGATGCTCGGCATCCACAAATCCCATAGGCATAAATACGAAAAGTCAGTGCTCAACTTTTTCAGAAAGCTGTTGTAAAAGAAGAGATCTGTCTAGACAACAGCTGAGGGGAAGAGCTCTGTGATAGGTTTTCTGAGTCAGGGCTCCTTCTCCTAGCCTCTTACCACAATCAATTTCTTCTTTAGAACATACTGGTATTGGTGCCACTTCCACTGAAACCAGTTCCCAAAACTTCTTGTTCATCATGATGGCATTAGTCAAAAGAAAAGATTGACTAGCTGATAGATAGATAGATAGGCAGGCAGGCAGGCAAACGATGATGCCAAATCTCTTTTGTTGAGACACTCGGGTAGGTTTCAAATCAACATTACTGACTTACAGGAAAGCTTTGAAGGCAGAACATGCTGCTGCTTTGGGCTGACTTGGAGAAGTTCAAGGATAGCCTTCAGCCCTGCAGGCTTCGCTTGAGAACAGGAATGGAAGATGCAGACTAAACATCTGCATGGCTGTCCAAGGGTTAAAACATGACTCAAAGACTGGAAAGATGCCGTCCTGTCCTTGCTTTGCTCTGCGTTATCATGAACTAGCTTCTCTGTAAAATGATCATAGAATCAGAGCATATCTCAAGCTGGACAAGGATTATATATCCTCAAGCCATAAGGATTATCAAGCCCAACTCCCTGCTCCTCGCAGGACTACCAAAAACCAAACAAGATGACTAAGAGAGTTGTCCAGACGCTCCTTGAACTCTGACAGGCTTGGTGCTGTGACCACTTCCCTGTTCCAGTGACCAACCATCCTCTCAGTGAAGAACCTTTTCCTAACATCCAACCTGAACTCCCCCTTATGCAGTTTCATTCCACTACCCATGGCTGGTCACCAGAGAGAGATCAGCACCTCCCCCTCCACTGCCCCTCTTGAGGAAGTTGTAGACTGCGATGTGGTCACCCCTCAGCCTTCTCTTCTCCAAGCTGAACAAACCAAGTGACCTCAACCACTCCTTGTAAGTTTTCCCTATCTTGGTTGCCCTCCTCTGGACACACTCTAATAGTTTGATGTCCTTCTTACATTGAGGTGCCCAAAACTGCACCCAGTACTCAAGGTGGGGCCACACCAGTGCAGTGTAGAGTGCGACAGTCACCTCCCTTGACCAGCTAGCTATGCTGTGCTGGATGCACCCCAGGACACAGTTGGCCCTTTCGCCTGCCAGGGCACAGTGTTGACTCATATTCAACTTGCCATCAACCCAAACCCCCAGATCTCTTTCCACAGGGCTGTTCTCCAGCCTCTTGTCCCCCAGTTCGTATGTGCAACCAGAATTACCCCATCTCAGGTGGAGAATCCAGCACTTGCTCTTGTTAAATGATGCTGAGGGACTTCCACCCCAGGAGCATGACAAGGTGCTGTGATCCCACAGTGATAGGATTGGTGCAAGAATGTATAATGAGCTTGAAACAAGAATTTTCATTGCTCTTTTGTTTTTCTTTTCTGAATATGCAATCCCTTGGATTATTTGTTGTCCAGGCACACTAGAGGAGAGCCCCTGATCCATACAAGTGAATTCCACTCTAAAGAGAAAAAGAGGTCCAGAAACAAGACTCCCCTTTTCCACAAAGTGGAAAATGCCTAGGTGGCATATAGTCTGTGTAGCTGTCTTTACATTCCTACCCTCACATTGCAAGCAAGCAAAGGTTTTGGCCAACACAGGCATAGTACATGGGTAAGAGTCACAAGGTGACTCCTCATGAGAAGGTAGATGAGTCACAGCAACTACATTCCCCACCTCAGAAAACCAATTTATCAGTCAGAAAGGAAGAAGAGGTTTGCAAGCTACTTTATAAACCCATGTTCATGACATCTATTTGTTGTTTGTCTTAGGCAACGCTCACACTAAAGTGATACTGCAGAAATGCTATTCATAGCCAGATGTCACAATCCCGACAGTGCTACTGTAGTGGCAAAATAGCCTTTCCTCCACACAAAGTTTCTGTATTGCACAGATTAGCTTCCAGGTAAGTAGCAGAGCTACAGTATCCTCGATGGCATCACCTTCGCTGATCTCAGTGAAACCTACCAGAGATACAGGCTAGAAATTATTCAGGAACTTACTCTACTGCAAACAATTAGAGAGTAGAAAGATGAAGTGGGAAGATGCAAATTAAGTATTTTCATGGCTGTGACTCTGACAGCACTGGCACAAATTTCAGCAGGGGAAGTATGAGAAGCCTAATTAGGCCAGGTCATTACTATACGGCTATTTCTAATACCAGGCAAATCTTACTGATTATGGATGATTTTTCCAACAGCATTTCCTTCATTTTGGCACTCCTACTTATTTGCTCTCTCTTCTGTTGTCGTTGGTTTTTTTTTACCTGATGTCTCATACTAACACCTGATTTGTTTTCCATTGTTTAAACTCAAAGACAGGTGTGGTGGTATCTTCACATCATTCTTTTCAGTGAAAAGGACCATGCAGTTTGGCTGAATGCTGGGAGCCCTTTGACTGAAAGTGATACCCATAATATAGATGGGGGGATCTAAAAACTCTTTATTGGATCAAAAGATGGAACCTGCACCCATTCAAGGCATTCCCACAGCTCCTACTGAGTGTTAGGGGTGCATGGTCAGGGGTTGTAAAGGCCAGGCCTTCAGAGAGGCAAATGCTCAGTGTTCTCAGGAACTCTGGATTCAGGCATGGGTGGTCAGCACCTCTCAAAATCCAGCCCTGCAGGACTTAGATTTTGAAACTGAGGATAGATTTCCACATTAGTAGCATCTGCAAGTTTTGATATTAAGGCTTATCTGAGAAACCAAGACAAAAACATATCAATCAATTTGGATTTTTATATAAGCTGTCTACATTTATGCGTTCTTTTTGCACAGAGGCCTTTCCACTGAGCAGTACTGTGATGTCACCCAGCTGAAAAAAAGTGATATGTGTATGAATGATGAACTGTAAGTTTAAACTGTGCTTTAACCAGATTGTGAATTTAGTGAATATAACAGCAAACTGAATATTCATTCCATTCTGGTGATATTATGTTATAATATTAATACTTCATATATGATATGAAGTGCAGATATGATAGGAAATCTAAGGGCTGTGTTCTGTAAAAAGGTATTATCTAGTAACAAAGGAGAGCAAACAGAGCTGGAAATTCAGAATACGGAATTGTACCCTTCCAGTTTAGTATATCTTCAACAAGGGTCTCTGAGTTTGCTTTACAGGTTGTCCATATTTATCAACTTCTAACACTCAAAAACATTAGCCTTTCCACTAGTTAGAATCTAGATTAAACTGAAGTAATTGAAGTAACCATGACACCATGTGTATTTCAGTCCATTTTTCTGGTATATGAGTATACATATATATGTATTTTCGGAGGACGCTTGGCAAGGATTATTTTTCTCTCTGCTGCTGTTCAAGAGACATCAGACTGAGTGAATTTGGATGCTGCTGGAGTTGTGCAATCCAACATTTTGCCACTTGATGGCAACAGCAAAACACTTAAATTTGCTCAAACTACTGAGATTTTAGATTAAGGTAATTTAAAGTGTAAATGCAAATTCTTCAAAAGTAGAAAATGAACAAGTTACACCTCTCACATTAGCATTGATAACTAGAGCATATTAGAAACCTGAGAATAACTTTGCAATGATTTCTCCGTTATCTTTATAGGGCTGTGAAGCGCATTGTTTGATCCCACCACCCTCCCTTTAGCCTCACTGCATGTGAGGTACCTGCTCCCCATTTTGTGTAAACTCAGACACTCTAGAAAAGCAGGGAAATTGATTGTAAACAGGTCACAGAAGCTACACAAGGAAACCTGCAACCCTGCTCTTTGTAATCCACTGCTTTTTGCAGGCTTCTCCCTTTATTACCTTATTACAGCATGCAGCACAAGCAGAAGTGAGTGTGGTTACCTACAACAATGTAAAAGCCAAAACTCCTTTTTACTGGGACAGCTTGTGGCCTTTGACCAGCAATACATATTAGAGGCATTGGCTTGTGCTACTTCTACAGAATTTGATTACAGGCTATAAGGAAGTAGCAAGTTTCCCTGCAAGTTTCTTCCTATAAGTTTCCGCAGCACTAAGTGACAAGAACTGGCCCATGCCCTTTTGTAAGATAACGGAGCACTTTTCAAGTTGTTTTAAAGCCAACATCCATGCAAAGTGGATACTCTCATGCTGCACCGTCAAGACAGGTGGTTCTGTTTTATTACCTAATCCACCTCCAGGAAAACTCAATTGACTTCAGTGGAATGACGCCGGGGAACAATTTGGCCCACTGTGACTCACTAGTCAAATAAGTGTCCTGTTATGTGACATTTATATTGGTATCCCTGAAACAGCAGAAACACAGGCAGACTGTGGAGTAAATTTTAAAACTGTGTTTTGCATGGGGTAGGATGCCTGTTGTGTTTTCAGTAATTCCTAGGCTAACCAACCTCAAATGCTTCTTAGTTAAGGATGCTCTGGGACCCATTCACTTCATAGCAAGAGTGTTCCTCGTGCCAGTTGCCCACCAGAATGGATCATCCATGTACACAGGCTGAGAAAGAGATCTTGGCATCTTTCTGGGGATTTGCTTCCTTAAGAGGAAGCAACCAGGGACTGCTGTGACTCTATACCCTTGTGCTAGCTGTACAAGGAGGAAGGCAGTTTTACACAGGAGTAGATCAAACCCTGCCCCCACACGTTCTGAAAAGTACACAACATTGGACTCTGAATATTTGATCAACAGCACATTGATATACTTTCTCCATTATTTTGAACTTAAATCTTAACCTGAAACATGCTGGGTCTTGAAAAATATTTTATGGTCTATGCTTTGTCCTAGTTTGAGTGTTATCTTTTCCTATAACATTGTATTTTCTTGGTCTTTGAAAGACACTTAAATTGAAGGAGAGAATATATCCTTTAAAACAAAAAGTGAAACACATCAAAAAAATATATATTCCACATTCATAGTCCAAGGTCTTTCAGAGCAAATACTCTTCCTGCTGTCAGGGACTATTAAGCGGTGACAATCACATGGAACCTTTCCTGAAAAATACGCTCCGAATGGTGCTCTGCAGGCCTACCTGGGAGCTATTAACACTCAATTTATTTACCTTATAGCCTGTGAGGTCTCCTTTGAACCATTACTGTCTTTTGTGGGAAATTAATTACCAGGCATTTGCAATAACTCTGTACACTTTCATTGGACAACTATGCCTTTGCCTTAAGTATGCACACTACATATCCTTGTGCAGTTTTGCACTAGAATGAATCACTGGGTTTGTGGAGATGTGCTTTGTAAGTGCATTAGCAGTGGGCCACACACATATGTCCTCCCAGACAAATGTACTAGAGAAAAGTAGTTGCCTCCTCCCATCTAAAGGTGTAATGAGTCCTCACGTTCACATCAAACAAGACAGAAAAATCCTGGAAGGCCTTGAAAAACACCCTTCAGTCATTGCCAAGAACCCTAGTTACATAAACACATGTTGTACATCAGGCTACAGCATTTGCAGCTGTCCTTCCAAAGACAAGTCACACCATTGAGGTTTTCAGTGGGTTCAATAACAGCACAAAATGAATGAAAACTGGCTTTTTTTCTTCATGTGGGTTTTAATCTGCTTTCACTGTTTTGCATGCCACACAGCACTTCCAGTCCTCTGGCTGTCCCCCAGCTCCCTGACCCCTGGTGGTTCCCTGACCTGCAGCTCCCCAACCAAGCAGGTTTTAAGGTTAGGCTACATAAGTGATTGCCTCCCTTTGAAAGAATAAAGGGCTGCAGAGACAGCAAATTTACACATGTGAAACGTTCTATTCTCCAGTCATAATCTCCTTCCTGTTAAAACTGGGAAGAGTGATACATCTTATTCTCTTAATAATTTACTGAGTATGTGGGAAATTAAGAGGAAAGAGCAGCAAAAAGTTCTCTGGCCTGATCTAGAAAAGAAGCTGAAGGTCATAAGGCTTCCCACACTGCATCACTCTCAGGCCAACACCACACCTGAGAGAAGAAACAGCTCTTCAGAGGCTCCTACCATGTGTCGGAGAGTAGAAAAATAGTGGGAAGTGGGAGCTCCTCATGAAGGTCACATAGGTTCCAATGTGTCTTTATTACCATAACTGAACAAGTGTGTCCCTGCACCCAGTGTTCAGCACTGCATCAGGAGGGGAGCCACAGAACTACTGCAGGCAAAGCCAGTGTTTCCATAAGGATACTCTCTCTCATGTGAAATGTGGTTTATGCGTATCTTATCAAAAAGCGTTCACTGGGTGCCCACAGTGCACTCATTGCTAAAGAAATGGGATGGTGTTCATCTGGATCACTCCCTGGATTCGTTCTGGGGCTTTCCAACAGGGAGTATAAATCCCTCCAGCTTGAGTCTGACTTCTTTTCAAGAGACTGATGGACTCCATATCCTCTGCGGACTGAACATAAAGGGGCAGATAACATAAGACTTAGCAACTGTTTACTCTGTAATAGTGGCAGATTCCAGCAAAAGTCTACTAGAACTCCAGTGAAAGTATCTCAGTGACAAATTTGGAAAAGCTGCTATTCCTTTCTTCCTTTCCAGCCAGAGCTCTACCTTTCTATACTGCCATCCATTCTGGGTGGCTTCAGGCTTGATTACCCAGTTTGAATTGTAAAAATCTAAGGAACACTCTAAACAACTGTCCACCTTTGAAAATGCAAAGCTTTGCTGGCTGTTACAACCTGAGCTCACAAAGCTTCTCTAAATCTTGGTAGAGTCATGAAAATGCTGTTCATCCTTATTTTATTGCTGCCTTATGTTTAGACTTTATAATGAAAAGTGTTCTACAAAGATACCTAAGTGGTTTTGCCCTGCCAGAGCACAAAGCAGACTGATTGTCCTTATTTTAGCATATTTGTATCAGGAATATGTCCAATGAATGCAATGAAGAAAATAAACACTATGAAGCACTTTATTTCATGTCTACAGCACCAGTAGACATACAGCACCAGTTCTAACTGTAGAAATGGAAAATCAGTTAGAAGTGTCTGGGGAATAAACTTTTAAATATTGCTGTTCTCTAAGTATGACTGTTTCTGGAAAAGCTTTCCATTTTCAAGACAGACACAGAGTTTGAATCAGAGTCCCAGGTCATTATAAATGTAACAATATACAAATGGTTGTCAGAATCCAATACTTTGATTAAGTCCTGATATCTTTCTAGCATCACACATTAAAAGTAGATCTTCTGTTCAGCTCAGTTGAGGCATGAGGCACGAGGCATGATATCTCACGGTAACTTGTGAGAAATCACATCTCATGTTGATGGCACAGAGTCCCGTGGCATCACGGCAGATTTCACAATAAAATGCATGACTTCTGCATGTTGTATCAGAATGTGTGAACAAAATTGAACTGCTACTTGAAGTTTATCTTCAAAATACCCATGCCAGTGTGGAAAAAAATAAGCACAGGACTGTATTTAAATTCTTTGAGTTAAGGGGACATATTTCCTCTTCGTAACTGTGCAACACCTATTTTTATGGAGACTAATTCAATGATGGAGTGGCCAAACTGCCACTCTTGAGTCACAGGTGACTTGAACAGAGCTTGGGTGCAGTTCCCATGCCACAGCTATGCCATTAACCACGCTACTGAGTAATCATCAGCTGTGGGAGGAAGAGAGTTCCCAGAGGAATTGCTAAGGATGAAATGATGGAGCCTGCATGGGGCCCATCAACATCCCACAAGGCTTTGTCCTCAAACTGAGCAAGAAGAGGAGCCCTGAGAAGTTATCACCATCTCCTGTTTGGGAACGAATCTGGGACATCCCTATCCTCACTGAGAAAAAAAAGAATATTTGGCAATATGAAGGTTTTGGTATATGGTTTGTAGAATCAAGAAACTTTGTGTGATCACTGTACAAATAATAAAGCTTAAAAGAAGACTATCATCAGACAACCCCTCCTACCTATATATGGTAAAAACTCTTTCAAGCAAGACCTGGTAATTAAGCCTTCCTCATGAAATACATGAGATTTTGGAGGAGCTCCAGGTAAACCACTTAGATTAGTCCAATAATATTGTCTTTCAGGCATTTTTTTCATTATATCATAAAGAACTATTAAACAAATTAATTAATTTTTGAATCTTAGACATTTTTCTGACTTGGTACAATTGCCAAAAGACTCTTAGGTAGCCTCAGTGATGAAATTCTTGCCCCTTAAAGTTAGTGTTTTCTTTTGATTGTTTTTTTAAAATTTATTTGAAGCATAAAATAAATCTCCCTGGTAAAATATAAATAATTTATCAGCATGGAATGAATAAATATTTTCTCTGCAAGTATAAACAGGATATATTTTCTGTTTTGCATTACTGATAAAAGGACTTATTTTTACTAGCAGCACATACCATTGTTGATTAATGTAGAGCTTATTACACAAATGTGTAAGAGGATAGGTTTTGCCCTCGTTCCTTTTTAAAAGACCTTCAGCACATTACTTGTTCCCTGTGCCTTTTCAGTCTTTGGCACCTGGCAACACAAAACATTCCTCATGGAATGAGTGGTATCAGTAATAATATTGTCTGCACTGCTTACACATTGATTTGTCCCTAATGTATATTGATTGCACTGATTCAGATAAAATATGGGAGGTGCAAATGAACATGGATCACTTCAGGTAACTTATTTATTATTTTTCTTCCCTAATACAGGCTTCGTAAACCACCAGACAGTTTGGCTAAGTAAGTACACTTCACCTATATATCTTAGCTTTCCTTAATGAAATAAAAAGGCAAGTTGTTCCTCTTACAGCCATAATTGCACAGTGCAGGTTCCTTGGCAATAAGCAGCAGCAAAGTTACTAGGCAAAAAACTCTCTCTCGAATGAAGCCCGTAATGACAGGTTTAGCAGGTTAGCAGTGTTCGCCTAGCACGTCCACTCTCCTAACAAATACTGATCTTGCTGACTTACCTATGGGCTAATTCTCAGTTGTGTTGTTTGTGGCCTCTTCACCTAATGTGAATTACAGTGTTTGGGAGCACCTACCAAGGACAGCTAAGGGATCTAAAGTATGTATAAAGCAGATATATGAAAGAGAAGCCACAGAAAAGGACAGCTTGGTGAGACATCTTGTTACGTCATGATGCACAGCCTCAGGAATGGAATGAATTTGAGTCCTGTATAAGGTTGTGACTTTGGTTTATACAGCAATTGGGGAAAAGACATTTGCTCTCAGTAAGCTGCTGTATGTAGCTGTGGTAAACTTTAGAAGAATGCAAACAGGGTGCTAGTGTCTCTTACTGGAATAAGTTGCTGCTTTCATTTTCCTTGGAAGATTTCAGGATTCCCCTGATTTTAATAAGTTTTTTAATTATTCTATCATGAAAAATTGAAAGCTGAAAAGAACAGGCACAGGAACATGGGCACTCCATGAAATCCTGGTTCTCAGTATCCCTTAAAACTCTCCAGTTTAGGTTTATCCTCCCTCATCACAGAAATAAACATCCTCTTAGAGGCAAATTTTGACTTCACATGCACAAACTCAGTTACTATTAACTGGAGCTGTCCAAGAATCAGATGTCCACATTTTCCTTCCATCAAGCCACATAAAAGTAAACGTGAATTGGTATGACTGATAATGTACAAAAGCTGCAAGGGAATCATCATTGTGAATTCTTTGCAAGGTGCAAGCAAGAGGGGATTTAAAGAACTAAGATATTGCCTTTCTGATTCTCACCTCTCTCCCAGTTCTTGCGAAGTGTTATACTTAATGCTAAAACTCTGTGAAATAAGAAAATTTTCTTTCTTTCTGTCCTTCTTCCTGCGAACCCAAACCAACCCAAGACCCCTATGCCTGCCATTTCCCACCTCTCATCCCTACCAGACACACATCTCTAGGTACGCCATGTTTCCAAACTTCAAATCACCTGAGGATCGAGACACTGGGATTGATGCAAGCAGTCATCAACCTTTCCATCCCAATATCCCTACCAAGGCTTTTGATATGGTTGTTCTGAGGAAGACCAGAGGTAAGACAGCATTCTGTTGGTTTACTATTTATTCTTGAAACTTACTTAGAAGCACTACTGAAGTCATGACACTTTCCTACTGAAGCACACAGAGCCAGAATCTGAATATATCAGTGGTCAAGCTAAGTAACTTGGCTTAAATTAGAGCTCTAGGCACTGATAGTTGCAGTCTCCATGGAGGATACCTCAGCACTGAGAATGATGAATAAATCTGACTCACATGAACACCTTGTAGCCTCAGAAGCTAACAGAGCTATTAACATAGCTGCTAATCCTCACAAAATCACTTAGTATGATTACTATCTGGTATCATCTTTCAGACAAATAATTCTTCGCAGTCCAATAGACTGGAAGAGAAAGGAAAAAAATGCATCAAGTAGGATCAAAAACTAGCAATTTTGGAGCCAAAGTAATGCCTGCCATACCTTTGCTGAGGACAACAGAGGTACCCCTGAAATGAGAGTGGAATGATTTAAAATATTTTATCACTACACAGATGGTAGAACAAGGCTCAGGGAGAAAAAGCAACTCTTCTTATCCCTTACGAAGACTGAGATGAAGCCCTAGACAGTAATTATTTACAGAACACCACTGTTTTTAATCCCATCAGCCTTTTACCCTGCGAGTGTTTTACATAATATATTGGAGGAAAAGGGCAGAAAATTTTTGATCTTGTTCTGCTTTTCCCTGGAGGCATTCTACTACATTGGGATTTTGACAAGTACTTCATTTTGGAAGACTTTAAAGATCTCCTGCATGAACTGATAAGGAGTCCTTGGCAGCTGCTGACCACACAGGGTTATGGGGTATATGGGACAGGAGAAAGCCAGCACCTTTGTGTGTCATGGCAGTGCTGGCCAGGAAGAGTTTGGCAATAACTGTGTGAAACAGAAAAAGCGTACGCTGGCATGGACAAGAAGCTTTTCAGCAGAGTAAAAGCTGATAATGTTAAGTAGGAGGTCAATTTGCATTAATTAGCTGCCATTCCCAATCATTGGCATAGTGCTGTACAGTTATGTATATAATTGGGTACACGAGCCATTTTTAGTGGAGTATTTGTCCATCCAAACCTAAAAATCTTTCCACAGAACATGTAATGCCAGGAATAGTGAGTTTTAGTCAATTTTTACTGACCATTGGTCAATTTAAGAAACACTAATCATGTGTGGAGGTGGGCTTACAAAGCCTATTTTTGCACAACAGGGATCATCACGGGCCAAGACCTATTTCCAGCAAAGCTTAGCAGGTTCAGAATTACTAGCTAAGGGGACAGCTACCACTGGCACTTAGAAAACACTTTAACTTCATTTGCTGTTCCTTCCATACGGTTTGACTTCCTCTGACATCAGGACACTCTAGTTCTCAGTAACCGAAGCAGAAATCTCTGCTTAAGTATAGACCACACTCAGATAACTTTTACCACTGGAAGGTTGTATTTAAAAGCTTTTTGCCTTGTCTACATTTCCCCTTTACAAAACTCAGAGTAGCTATTATGTAGCGAATGCTAACAGCATCGTTTTGAGGTAAACAGGGAAACTGAGGCAGAAAGACTGGAGAGAAAAAGCAGTGATAGAAACAGGGTTGGAAATTACGCTGTTCCAAGCATGCACTGCAGTTTCATTTTCATAAGACATCTAGTAGCACTCAGTTATTCCTCTGATGGTGACGTTATGAGTACAGGGACAGCTTCACAATTCATCAAGCTTTATTATTTGTTGTTGCTGTTTGTAAAAATCATGCACAGAAAATGCAGTAGAATCTTCCCTATTGGTATATGAAACAATCCAGGGCTCCTGCAACGGGCCATCAGCAAATGGCCTTCTACAGAGGAAGTTTTATCTTGTATAAGATCCAGTCCTCAGCTGCTTGTCACCACCTCCTTGCCTGAGTCAACTAGCCTTGTAGATCTGGTGGTGCAGATAATCACATTGAGTGCTTCCAAAAAGACAGCTGGGTTAACTTAGGCGGATTAAATGGGTGATTTGATCTAACCCTGCTGATTCTGTACCAAAAGAGTGAAGATAAGTTCTGTCTGCAGATCCATGAGGTCAGTCTCCCAAGGTAGAAGAGACATTAGCAGCAGCTCACAGAAAGAACCTCTTCCACCAGCACAGATGCCTTTAGAGTGAGCATACATCTACATCTTAAAATGCAGATCCATCTGCCATTCTATCAATGGTGTTCCATTAGAACATGTTAAATATTTCCCCTATAGGTAATCCATACAGGCATGAAGCTGTCAGCATTCCCTCTGCCTCCCAGAAGGCGGCTCTGCACTGGCCAGGACAGCACACATACTTCCAAGTAGGTAGCTGATACACAAAAGAGCAAAATGCCTTTTTTTAATTAAACTTCTCTGCATCTCTTTCATGGGAGACATTTTTACAAAGACAGCTCCTACACTGTTCCAAACACTTGCAGGCCATGAATTAGGTATCACGCATACAAAGAGTAAAAAGCTTTAGAGACAGTTTTCAGCCACCTCAGCAATATCTAAACAAGATCAGTAGCTAGCAGGCTGTCCTGTGAATGAAGTCCTTTAAGCACTAACTAGCTCTCATAGGACCTAGCCAAGTAGCTCTGGAGATAAGAACAAGAAACAGCAATAACGGCTGTTGACCATATGTTTAGGGGAGACAGGACTTCATTCAGAAGCCCAGATTATGCTCTTCAGCCCTTCAAAAAAATGGGTTTGGGCAGCAGTAGATCTTTGCTCCTCCCTACTTCTCTGCAAGTCCTGCCAATATACTGACAGGCTGGTGTCTCTATTTCCATGTCTTCAAAATATACATCCTCTTTGTGGATGGTCTTTGACTCCAATCTTGCCTTCCCCTGTATAGTGATGTAGACTGGGCTGGTCCATAAAACAGAAGAGTGAATTCGTTCATGAATGATCTTCAGCTTGGCTAAACACTAGTTTTATTCCCAAAGGGATGTAGCCTGAAGTTTGATGACAGATAGAAGTCATGAATAGCATAGGAAAAAATAGCGGTGAACAAAGAAATGTAGTCTTTGTAGACACACAGTCTTATGGATGTGGCAAGGGAAAAACGAAGCAGCAGTCCATTTTAAGGCAGTCTGTAATTGTAACTACAAAGGAAAGCTTATATAGCATGTAATGTTCTGTCTAGGTGTGGCTACCATGGAGAATTTGATTCCAAGGTAGTTGAATTGCATTCAGCTGAATTACGTACCTGTTAAATCTTCCACTTGAGTAGTAATACTGTACTGAAGACATTTTTCCACCACATTTTTACTTTCATTAGCATTTACTAAACAGATAATTGCAGGGAGGGGAGGGTGACATGACACGTGTTATTTCAAACCTTAAAATAGTCTTCTCCATACAGCACATATATTTGGTATATACCTCACCTATTTCTTTTTATCCTTCAGCTTCCTAAGTTTGTTGAAGAAAAGGGTCAAATATACTATCCAAATCCACCAAAGATAGTGGCCCCCAACCCCACTTTTAAAGAGCTGGAACATAACCTCTCTCCAAGAACAACCAATATGCTACAAAACACTGAAAGGGCTCTGGGGATCACAACATACAGTCGGGACTTCACAGGTAAGCATTTTTTATTAAATTAATGTACTTGGGATAGCAATGAAAGACCACAAAGTGTTAGCCCCCAGATTTCTCAAATTCATTTTTTGTCATTCAGTAAAAAAGGCCACACAAACTGTAAATTATCAGAGTTTTTCAGAGGAACTGCATTAATTCTGATTTTCCTAACCAATAAAAATGTGTGACAATAAAATATGTCTCCATTAAGGAAGAGGCCCTATGAATCCTCATATCCTGGATAACTATTACATGAAAGCAGTTGGCAGATTAACTGGACAACTAGGTGAAGATGTGGAACTAGTAAGTACTGCTTTTACTAAGAATCTCATGTTTCCACCACAAGCAATACTGGCAAGAGTATTACCAGATTCAGCTAGCAGAATTAAGCCTTCTCTTTGATAATACGTAAGGGCAGGGCAAGGGTCACTCTAAAACAGAGGCAAAAGTTCAGTATACTAAATCAGTCCTGACACAGCTGGTTGACAGAATTTCTGTAACGGACTGATGACTTGTTCAGGATTTGCAGAGGGGAAAGCTATTGTGATTCCTTGGGGTTTTTTTTATCTTATCATTTAAAGTTGACACCAACACATGACAGTAATTCAAACGACCTTTTGCCTTGAGAAATATGAGTAACAGTCTCCATAAAATGAGGTGGCAGGTCTCACCTGAATGGTGCAGCACTGTAGAGACTGCAACATTGGCTAGATGTTCAGCTAGTGTTAATCAGGACAACTCCATTGAACTCATCAACTTACTGTCTTTATTGCGCATTCCTTTATTTGATAAGTGACCTAGTACCATTGCAGACTGTTGCCTCCTTACTAACTATACCAGTTTAAGTTTGGCAGAATTTCTGTGATTCATCCTCCTCGATTTACGTGAGTGATTTGCCTTTCTTCCTTAAGGGTGCATCAGTAACATTATCAGATTCTATTTTAATGCAAAGATTTACTCTAAAGAATGTATAAAACTATACTGGAAAGCTCCATGTTTATTGTCTTCAACAATTTTTATATTTTGTGTAGCCTGTATAAAAGTGAAAAAATACTATTTGTATTACATGCTACTCATGCAAACGAAGCATAACATGGTATATAAGCATAGCAAATCAAGTTGAGCTACTTTTTGCTAATGCATCATTATCTGTAATGGCTTAAGCCATTCAGTGACACCTGCACATTGTTATGCAGAGCACATACACACATCTAATTTATTCTAACTGACTAAAAAATTCTCCAGGTAGAACAGAGGGAATGGATTCCTGCTCACCCTTCCACAGCACTACTGGCTTTACAGTACTTCCAGGTTCAAATTGCACAGACATACAAGAAGCAGGGCAGCTAAATAAGATGCTGTCATGTTCTTACAGTCCAAAAATGGCCCTGGATAAAAAGTCCCCAAATTGTCCTGCTTTTGTCTATTGGATTAAAAAAACAAATCCAAGTAAGGAAATCCCTCTTGAAATGGCATTTACAAGTTTCTGATAATTGAACCCCTGTATCTGAAATGGAAAAGCTGTCTAGTTTTTTCTCCAGCGTGATGAAGAAACAAATGTTTCACTTTATGATGATGAACGCTTTAAAGAACAGTTTCAACAGCTGGTCTCTGGAAATGAAAACCCAAACTAGCAACTTACGTTAATTTAAAACTAAGCAGTTTTATTGCCCTCTGGCTTCCAAAGCGTGATTGGCAGAGGCCTACCCTGGGCCATGCCAATTTATCTGAACAACATTATTCCACTTAAAACATACATATGTTAAACATCAAGCACTCAGATTGTTTAGCACAGTAACTGCTAAAGTCCATTCTTTGGAACTTTGAAAGTACAACTTTGGAACTACTTAGGACTCAAATGTACTTTGTGTTTGAAGAGTTCCTATACAATGCGTCTTTGACTCCGCACCAGTATCGGAAGTCTCAACAGTACAAATGATTAATATAGGGTAACAGTATTTATGCAGTGGGTCAAACTGTGGTTGAGAGAGCTGAAAAGCCACAGGCCAGTGAACATCCTCAGTCCCACCTGCCACAGCTCCTAAAAGAATTTAAAAACACACTAATGCAACTCACCGTTTGGACTATCATATTGCTTAGGAGACCACAAATGGAAGACAGGTGCTTACAGAAAAAAGGAGAAGAGAGCACAAGACATCTATACTAATTTCTATCTTATGCATTGGGATGGAGCAAAGTATTTTCTTTTCCAAAGCATAAAGACTGACTCTAAGCTCCCTAGGTGGCAAGGCAATAATGAATGTCTGGGCTGCTTTGCCTGGGAGACCCCTAAGCCATTTCACTAGTCTCAAACAATGGTCTGCTAACATAAGCAGTCCCTGATGAAATAAGAGACTTAGATGACAGTATAAATCCTGCTTCTTCCTCCATATAGAAAGAAACGTTTCTGCCTAGTCTGTCACAAGTAAGACCTCTTGAAGGGCGCACTGCACGTTTACTTCAAGGTCGACGTCCTCATGAATCAATTCTGCAAGAACAGCACTCCTCCAGTGTTCATATGCCTCCAACCTTATGCAGAGTTCCTACTGTTGTAGCCAGCTACTCAGACACAATCATGAGTAAAATTAAAACAGCAGCCGGTCTAGGTCAACAGTGTAAAGCAAGAGAAAGCACAGACCAGAAATGGGATGTAAGCCAAGAGCAGGCCACTCTGTCCCAGACATGCTACCAGAAAGTTCATTATCTGGATACACGGCCACGAATAAACAAACTTCAGAAAATCACTGACACATTGCAAACAGAAGCATTATGCAGGGGACAGCTTTCAGAAAGACCTGAACTTGAATCCCTTCTAAAATCTGCATGTTCCCTTTCCTATGAAGACTTCAAGCCCAGACATTTGGATCAACGTACAGTATGGGAAAACCCAGTTAATCTAAATAAGCCAGGCTTACCATTGGATGCAAAGAGTGAGGAAAGTAGAATTTTGTTGCACAAGCTTTGGCATCAAGAAGCATGTCAGTCTGCATGGAGACCAAAGGATGGGCCAAGAGAGACAGCACTGCCTGAATGGATCCCCACCTGTGAGGCTCCTCATCGCCAGACAGCACTGCTGGAGCTGCAGCATTCCTTCTCTAAAACAGCAGCACAAAAACTTTTTCATGATTTTGTAACAGGAGAGACAAAAGACCTCAGAGATAATATTACTGAGGGAAAGA